GTCTCCTCATCTTCCTGCTAATTTACGTTTCACACCAAACTTTAAACTCGTGCCCTACACCTTGTTTCTTGTATTTTTTTTTTCTTTGTGTATTTTCATGGCAGCTCCGTACGTTTATCATTACTACAGCGTTTTGGGTTTCCTGTGTTTTGTGTGGATTGAAGCAAAAATACTTCTTCCAATATTTGTTTCACCTCTTCCACCTTCCACTAAATTTTTAACAATAAACATTTTCAGCCTTACTTCAGTCAGATTTTCATGATTATATCCTCGTGTTTGTAAGAAYCAGACGTGTCAGAACATCTGGTGGATTCCAGCTGCTGATTTTTATAAATGATCACCTTTGTTACAGTACTCGTAGACCAGATATCTTGATACAACACGGATTCTTTTGAACAGTCTCTATTTCAGACTTCCTGTACGGATCATTTGCTTCATGCAGCTTCCGTCAGAAACACTCCAGATGCTTCTGGGAAACAACAGAAACATTTACTGGAATGACAATCGTTGTATTGAATGACCGCAGTCAGATCGGATGACAGAATCTGACTGAAAGAAGACACTGATAAGATTTCACAAATTAGTCAGTCTGGGATGTTAACTTGTGTGGATAAATATGGTACAGTTTAAGGCATGTTTGAATTAATTAAAAAATAAAAACTAACTGTAATCTAACCAGTAGATTGTATTCTACAGTTATGGAAAGAAAACCTACAGAGTTGTAGAAGCATCAGTTTTGGTTTCAGGTAATCATGTTAGTTTGGATCAATCGGTTTCGAATAAAAGTTTAAACCTGAGTGTTTGTGTTTCTCACCAGAACTCCCCATCGTCCTGCACCGTGACGCCCAGCTTCTCTCTTTCACTTTTGCTCACTTTGTTCCACTCCTCTGAACTGCAGAGAGGGAAAAAACAATACAAAAGGTCATTAAAATATTTTATTTTTTAAATATACTCATGTCTAATTTTAATAGAAGGAATGTATTTCATCATGTTTAAAACAAAGTCTATCAGGTTTATTTAACATCTTGATTAGAATTTAGGAATGAAAACACTCTGCTGTTGATTCCCACATTATTTGACTTGCTTTTACAAGCTCCTGTTACCCTCAGGTGCTGCCAGTCATAAGATTTATTGCCAAGAAGAATCGTTACGATAAAATAAAACAAACAGAACTCTCCTTACTTTATTTCGAGTATAATTTCAAAAAGGTCTAGTTAAATCTTTGAAAACTCTAAAGCCCTGTGTGTAAATCATACCCAAACATCAAGGTCCAGCTGTGTTTACTGCTCAGGGGAACCATAAGTGCTTACTAGATGGAGTATTCCTCCGCTCGTCTCTGCGTTTATTATTTACCAACAAACATCCGCTTCTCAACGGTCTGCCGGCCTGCACTTACAGCAACAGGTTTTATCAAACCGTGACTAAATAATTCAGTGACAGTAAATGAGATGATTCACGTCTCCTTAATGACATCTGTCTTGTTCACTCTCATCAATAATTCAGACTCCATTATAACCCGGCTTTACCACCTCCCCTGTTTGTTTCTGGGGTGTAGATGGAAGTAAGTAAGTAAGTAAGTAAGTAAGTAAGTAAAAAAGTAAGTAAACTTTATTTCTACAGCACCTTTCACAGACAAACATCACAAAGTGCTTCACAGAAAGCAAAAACTAATTAAAAACAATAAAACAGATCACAGATATAAAAACTACAATTAAAACACAATATAAAGCACTTAACTAAAAGCCTGTCTGAATAAAAATGTCTTAAGAGGTTTCTTAAAAGAATCAGTAGAATCTGAGCAGCGAAGGGACAGAGGGAGAGCATTCCAGAGCCTCGGGGCCACCACCTGAAAAGCTTTGTCTCCACGAGTTTTATAATGAGTTCGAGGGTCCACCAGCAGCATTTGATTAGAAGACCTCAAAGTCCTGGATGGACAGAGAGGCTTCAGAAGGTCCAGTATGTATTTGGGGGCCTGACCATGAAGTCCTCTGAAAGTTAAAACTAAAATTTTAAAATGACTCCTCAAATGCACAGGGAGCCAGTGCAGAGAGGCTAAAMCAGGTRTAATGYGGKCTCTCCTGTGGGTCTTTGTTAATAACCTCGCTGCAGCGTTCTGCACAGACTAAAGCCGAGTCAAGGAGGATTTGTTTAGACATGTAAAAAGACTGTTGCAGTAATCTAAACAAGAAGAAATAAAAGCGTGAACAACCATCTCTAGTTCCTTCTGTGACACAAAAGATCTCGGCTTTGAAATGTTCCTTAAATGATAAAAACAGTTACGAACTAAAATTTTACAATGGCTATCAAAAGACATAGAACTATCAAAGACAACACCCAGATTTCTGAGACTATTTTTCACTGAAGGAGTTAAAAATGGAGGACCTTTTATATCAGTTATCAGTTCCTGTGAGACGTGCAGTGGACCCTAAATGGAGGAAGGAACCAGAAACGAGTAAACAACCTTCTAAAAGGGTTGAATTTAGTCTCTTGTTCACTCCGAGGCCCATTAGCTTGATTGCATTTTCATTTTTCATTGTCTACATGGCATTTCTCAGTGTGTTGCTTCCTTGCCTACAAAGTGTGTATTATGTATGAGCTGATTCAGTCATTTGGGGTTTGCTCATTCATCCCATGCAGTCTCTTAGAAATTGGTGTGTCAAAATATACAGGACCCAGAGGAGCAGCTCACTTTGACGTTTTTTAAATTAAATTAGTGAAAATCATTTAAACTGGTGCACAACAAGGTCACTTATTACAGCATGGATGTTTTGTTTGTGCTCCTCTGACTCACGGAGGCGATTCAGTCGCATCAGAAATGATTGATGAAGGTTTGGTGAGTGTTCGTGACCTCTCGTTAGGGCTGCGGCAGATCATCCTAGCCTGCAGGTGGCAGCGCTGCGTTTACCTGTCGCTCCAAGGGCCACTCCACTCCTTCTCTCCCCAGGGGTTTCTCATGCGGATCATGTGCAGCTTCTCTGATTTGAAGAAGGCCAGCAGTCCGTGACCCAGACGAACCTTCCGGACGTCCGTCACTGCGTAGGCATGACCTTTGACCAGACCGCAGTCCAGCCGCGCCTCCATGTCTTCTATTGTGGTCGCCTGGAAAACAAAACCTAGACTTTTAGAGAACTGAACTCAGGCCTGTCTATGTTGGCTAATTACCTAGAATCCTCCACTCTGTGATACTTCAGAGCCATAAAAATCAATGGTGAACGAGAATTTAACACAGACGACACAACCACATGGAAATCCCCATTTTAAACATTGAAACACACTCTTATCTGAACTCTTATTTTGTTAGCCACTTCCTTTTATTTTCTGAACTGTCTGTGCAYGTTTCTCCTCTGAGGAACAAATAAAATATTTAACTGACAGAAGTTATTACTGTCTGCTTAAATATCAAACTTTAGCAACGTATCCAATCTGTGTATGGTTCGTTCTTTGGTTGTTCCGTTTCAAAACAAAACCATAAAAAAGGAAACAACCGTGTGGTTTCTCTGTTTTGTGAAATGGAATYAATTAAAAATCCACAGTGTTTGATTTCAGCTATCCACTGAGATGAAGAGTTGTTGATATACAGGTGCTGGTCATAAAATTAGAATATCATGAAAAAGTAGATTTATTTCAGTAATTCCATTTAAAAAGTGAAACTTGTATTTTATATTCATACATTACATACAAACTCATATATTTCAAATGTTTATTTCGTTTAATTTTGATGATTACAAATGACAACAAATGAAAATCTCAAATTCAGCATATCAGAAAATTAGAATATTACTGAAGACCAATAAAAACAAAGGATTTATAGAAATGTTGGCCAACTGAAAAGTATGAACATGAAAAGTATGAGCATGTACAGCATTCAGTATTTAGTTGGGCTCCTTTGGCCTGTATTACTGCAGCAATGCGGCGTGGCATGGAGTCGATCAGTCTGTGGCACTGCTCAGGTGTTATGATAGCCCAGGTTGCTCTAATAGTGGCTTTTAGCTCTTCTGAATTGTTGGGTCTGGTGTATTGCATCTTCTTCTTCACAATACCCCATAGATTTTCTATGGGGTTAAGGTCAGGAGAGTTTGCTGGCCAATTAAGAACAGGGATACCATGGTCCTTCAACCAGGTACTGGTAGCTTTGGCACTGTGTGCAGGTGCCAAGTCCTGTTGGAAAATGAAATCTGCATCTCCAAAAAGTTGGTCAGCAGCAGGAAGCATGAAGTGCTCTAAAACTTCCTGGTATGTGGCTGCGTTGACCCTGGACCTCAGAAAACACAATGGACCAACACCARCAGATGACATGGCACCCCAAACCATCACTGACTGTGGAAACTTTACACTGGACTTCAAGCAACGTGGATGAAGTGCCTCTCTTCTTTTCCTCCAGACTCTGGGACCTTGATTTCCAAAGGAAATGCAAAATTTACTTTCATCAGAGAACATGACTTTGGACCACTCACCAGCAGTCCAGTCCTGTTTCTCTGTAGCCCAGGCAAGACGCTTCTGACGCTGTCTGTGGTTCAAGAGTGGCTTGACACAAGGAATGCGACAGCAGAAACCCATGTCTTTCATACGTCTGTGTGTGGTGGTTCTTGAAGCACTCACTCCAGCTGCAGTCCACTCTTTGTGAATCTCCCCCACATTTTTGAATGGGTTTTGTTTCACAATCCTCTCCAGGGTGCGGTTATCTCTCTTGCTTGTACATTTTTTTCGACCACATCTTTTCCTTCCCTTCGCCTCTCTATTACTGTGCTTGGACACAGAGCTCTGTGAACAGCCAGTTTAGCGATGACCTTTTGTGTCTTGCCCTCCTTGTGCAAGGTGTCGATGGTCGTCTTTTGGACAACTGTCAAGTCAGCAGTCTTCCCCATGATTGTGTAGCCTATAGAACTAGACTGAAAGACCATTTAAAGGCCTTTGCAGGTGGTTTGAGTTAATTAGCTGATTAGAGTGTGGTACCAGGTGCCATCCATTTTGAACCTTTTCACAAGATTCTAATTTTCTGATATGCTGAATTTGAGATTTTCATTTGTTGTCATTTGTAATCATCAAAATTAAACGAAATAAACATTTGAAATATATGAGTTTGTATGTAATGTATGAATATAACATACAAGTTTCACTTTTTAAAAGGAATTACTGAAATAAATCTACTTTTTCATGATATTCTAATTTTATGACCAGCACCTGTATATGCATTTGAAGTTACAGGAAATGATGTCATAGGGGAATGTCTGCATGTGAACAAAGCTTTGCTACAATAACAGGAATGTGACGTTTCTTTAGATTATTTTGAGTCCCTATGGGAGAGATGAAGAGTCAGTGTTCAAATAATATTGTTAAAAAAACAAAGACCAAGGAGTTGTTTTTTTTTAAAGTTCTCCTTTGATGTCACTTACTGTTTTATTTTGGAAGAGCTAAATCCAAAAGAAAAAATACGCCAATAATGTGGGTAAAATCATCTGTTTTATGCCAAGGTTCCTAAATATAAAAAGGTTTCCTTTGATTTTTTTTTGTATTTGAAGGATGTGCATGTTACAGTCACTTTAAGAACAAAATGTAATTTATGAAAATAATATTACACAGTATGGCAGTTTTAAACTAATATTGCAGAAAAACCTTCTTGCAGGCTAACATTTAAGTTTCCTGTCTGCATGCTTTCCTGCAGAATGTTTCTTTAGCTCTTTCTCTCATGTAACACCTTTCTAAAGTGGTAAATTGCTGACAGGTTTTATGTACAAGTGACATCTCACTGGATGATGATGAACGAAACATCGTGACTTTCATTGTTCTTAACTTCCTCCTTTGTGCTTTATTTTCAGCTGATGAGGTGGGAACAAGTAAGGTCCACTCCCAAGAATATAACTTTGCAAGTCACAAAACATTTCTCAACACAAACCAAGCTGTGATAAAAAAAAACATTAATTTTTGAATCATGCATTTTCTTGTAATTTTCCCATAGTTTTGTGTCACCAATGAGTTTCCAGCCATAGCAGATCACACCACCTCAAGGTACCGAGTATTGTTTTGTTTGCAGCTCACCCTGATGGAGCAGCTGATGAGGCCGTCTCTGTTGTGGACTTTGAGAACTCTTTCGAACAGCTGATTACGAGCCACCTCGTCTGTAGCCATCTGTCCTTCCAATAGGTCCACTGGCTCAGAAACCCCACCTGTAAAATCCACCAGGGCATCAGCAGTGTTTCCTCCGTCCAAAGCCTCGTAGCAGCCGTAAACCCTGAAGGAAGAGGACAGTCTATTTGTGCTGCTTCTCTAAAAACAAAACAACTTTTTTTTTTAATAAAAGTGCAATATAAAATGAGATCCATCTGTGACTGCACATCTGCTGGCACAGAAACTAACTTGGCGTAGGCCTTCTCCACCAGGGCACTCCAGAACTCGTTGCTGTCATTGGAGTGGCAGTAGACGAGCTGGTTGTCCACCGTCGGCAGCCGGTCGTCAATCACCACGTCCACCCACTCTCCCAAGCGCCAGAAGCGGAAGTGGAAAATCCCTGCGTATGAGTCAGGTTTTTCTGTGTCCCACTCCTGTTCCTTCCAGTCCGGAATGACCTGCAGCGAAGAAAAGAGACGAGAGACAGGTGAGCCGAACTCGTTAGTGGATTCTGGGTGAGGCAGAGTGGACATCCAGAGAGAGAGAGAGAGATCATGTCCCCTCATGTCTGCTGAAGCATTTAATGATGGGTAATAAATTTAAACCTTTGGCTCATGGTTATAAATCCAGCTGTAATTGGACATGAATCAGCATTTTGTGTTTGTTTCAGGCTTCTGTTTTTACAGTGAAAAACACAGACTAGTTTTTGTTAAAAAATTTTAAAAGGTAAAGATTTTCATTATAATTCAAAGCTAAATAAACTTGACGCGTTATCTGAGGACTAAACCACTAAACTGCAGCATGTTAGAGCTTTTATTTTGACGGGTTGATTCATGTCAAAAAAGCTCAAACTTGCATTTTGTTGTGAAATTTCTGGGACAATACTGGCAATGTTTTTCTGAGGAGTACTGTTAAATTCATGTGCTGTGGAGGAAGACGAACRTAGGAAACTGGAGGAAAAGGTTAGCATGAATGCTAACATTAAAGGAAACAAACTAAGAGACAGAGAGGCACTTAGAGGGCAACTTAAAAGATTAAGTAATGGTAATAGTAAAATATGATTTATTGACGGTCTATGTACAGTTTAAAACAGAACAATGACTCAAATAAAAATTATTGTGAACATGTAAACAGAATACATTGAATTCAAATTCCTTGCAGCTAGCACCTTCCTGTCACAAGTTATGACTAATATTCATATCTATAATTTCCTGGTCAATTCGACAAAGCTACTTCCAGCCGCACCCAAGCTTCTTCAAAGCCCACCACCAATCTGACCAATCACATCTTGGGTAAACTATGCCCAAAAAATAAAGAAACTCCTACTTAACCACTAACAATCACTCAAAATTATTTTTTGGAAGTTGCGTTCCTGTGGCTCAGCACCCAGACGGTGATAGCTGTACACGATGCAACGAGCGACGCCACGAGTGAACAAAGTGACGGTGCTTCAATGTCAGGATGTGCTAACTGAACTATGATTCCTGTCAAACCTCTGTGGGAGGTGACACAGCATCTCCAGCTCTGTGAAGCAGCAACAGCTTGTTGGAAAAAAAGAAAAAAAAAAAAAACACACTGCACCACTCTGTAATCTTGTAGGTCATCTTTCCTGCAGTCTGGTTTTATTGCTGACTTCGTCTCTCTGCACTGATGGCGGGAACACTTCGTTTATCTTAGCGTTCATCTGCTCCGAGCGTCGCTCTGTTGATTCACCTGCAGATGACCAGGAACATGTGGCTTTAACAGTTAGTAAAAACACTCCAGACTAATGAGGAGGGTTTTGTTCCTGTCCAACCCTAACCCACATGGGACGACTGTACTCTGAATATTTCTGTTGACAATCCAAAGCTTGCTTGATGGAACTTGGTGTACTGTGTAATGTTAGTTAAAGAACGTAACCAAGCAAACAAAGTCAAAAACAAAGTGACAAACTGTACTAAGCACAGCTCCCCGTGGGCCGAGCCTGAGCTCTGCTCCTAAATGTAATTAGATCTTGTTTTCTCTCGCCTCATCTCTATGTCTTCTTAAGTCCCACCCTCTGCTCTTAATTCCTCTCAGACAGGAACTCATGCAAACTGTGCGAGTCTGCAGAAACAGAGATTAGGAGTTTGTGTGGAGAACTTGGACGGGGCTGACGATTTAATACGGCTGTGCAATTGACCTCTTGGCTGCTGAGAGCCGTTCTAACATGTCTGAGAAAATTGAGCTGCCCTTCCGGCTGGACACGCAGCTGACGGAGGTGATGCGCCTGCGGGTTCAGTCTCTGCAGCAGCGCAGCCAGAAGAGGTCGGAGGGCGAGCGCCTGCTGCGGGCCAATGAGGCCGTTTACCGGCTGGATTTCTCCAAACAGTCCCTCAGGTTCTCGCACTGGACGGTGCGGCTGGCTCAGCCTGGACGCCTCACCGTCACAGCCACCTCGCAGCTCTGGACGCCAGACCTCACCAACCTGATGACGCGGCAGCTGCTGGAGCCCGCCGGCGTTTTCTGGAGATCGCCAAAGGATTCCCCGGACGCGCCGATCCAGTGTTACGAAGCCGACGCAGATGAATTTGGTGAGAGGATAGCGGAGCTGGCGAAGGTAAGGAAGGTGATGTACTTCCTGTTTGAGTTTGCAGACGGCTGCAGCCCCGAGACGATCGACTGCTCCATCACCTTCAAAGTGGACAACTGAAGCAAAATAAACTTAAGTGCTTGTATGGTTTAAAAAAATGGATAATTTTTAGGAAACTTATTTTTTTTATAAATTATCTCAAGTTTTTAAAAGTTAACCGACATCTGCAAAACTGTTCACAAAATGTTTGTGTATCTTTGTAGACTCTAAAGCTGCGAATAAATATGGGTAATTCTTTTTAAATCCAATAAAAATTCATTTGCAGTTTTGTTAATTTAAAATATGAGCATGGATTTTGTTTTCTTCGGGCTTGAGTGCTGAATCAAACTGTTCTCCTGCTTCTCCTCCTGTTTGACAAACAGCCTGCCCTGAAGGATTTGCAGGAGCTGAGTCCCACGTGAGACGATGCACAGAGACAGAGCGTGTGTGTGTGTGTGTGTTTGTGTGTGTGTGTGTGTGTGTGAGCAGATGAGAGAACAGGCTTCTGCCGCCTCGTTCCTCAGTCTTGCACAATGACCCTGACAAACAAGGAGACAGCAGCTCCCATCCTCCTCTTCCTCCCTAAAGCTCACTTCAACACGCAGGAACTGAATGAAAAGTGAGAAAAATAAAAAAAACAGCTCCGACGTCAGGAGGATTTGACTACTGTGACTTGTTTCTTGTCGCCACGGTGTCTAAGCTGATTTATATGAACCTCAATTAAATCAATCTTTCTCACAGTTTTTGCGTATTAAGTTTGTGTCTCACTCGTGTGCATACAAACACAAGGAAGTAAGAAAAACGTGTGCTACTCAAACTATTCAACAACTAAATCTCTTTTACATGTTTTTATAACATCAAGCAGCTTTAATATGACATTGTTTGAGCTGAAGTAGTTTTAATAGTTACATTTGGTCTTTTTAAATAAAAGGAATTCCGTCAGATACATTTTTATATTAGAYTTATTTATCATTTTGTTTTTAATATTGTTAATTTGCGACACTGTAAAGGCCTCCACATGTTCCATCTGAAGCTGAACAGCGACATTCGTTCACGACTCTATGAGTATCTGCTTCCAGGTACAACAGTGAAGTTCACCTGGTGGGTTGTGACAAAAAAGTGGAAGACTTGAACAAAAATGATGTAATTTTCATCATAAAACTTCAACAACAGCAGATTTCAGCAGTTTGAAGGGAGTATGTAGAGGCATTTAAGGTTTTACAACCTTGGCCTTAATTTACAATATATTAGGAGTGACTGCAGCAGCTGGAACGGGGCATCGAACCGGCAAACCTCCAGTTACTGGACGACTCCCCTAACCAGTTCACCACAGCCGTCCATATATCAGTAATAATGTTGACTATGTTCAGAAATATTCAGACTATATTTTAGCAGTAAGAAAAGCAAAAAAAACCTGCTTTAACAGGTTTGATGCTGTGAGTTATAATTGTCTTTAAGAGGGATAAAAACCAGTTTTAACGTTTATTACACACATAACTTTCTGCCAGCTGCATGTTAACCACTGCACAAACAACAAAAACAAAATTAATTTCCCAGCTCTGATCAACAGTTTACACACAATTAGCTTAAAGTTAACKCTGTTACAAAGCGAACAGAAAGTGAAAACTTATTCTGTTTAAAAGACAAAACTTGTGGGTCTGAACTAAAACAATACGTTTTGAGCTGAGACATGCTCGCTCATGAAGCTACACATTTTATAAGTGATATCAGCTAATGCTAATCTGTTAGCATCTGTGTCCCAAAGGATTTATCAATCCATCTTCCTTTGTCTATTCATTCTTTTACAGTGGAACAGAGTAAACACTGATGAAGGTTACACCCTGATAAAAATCCCATCCACCGGACATCCATTTAGTCTCAGCGTTTCCAGCTCGTCCTCAGAGACTCRGCATTAGTTTTCACTCGTTGGGCTTCAGTGACTGATGAGAGAAGCAGGAAGGAGCTGTGATGCAGTAATGAGTGCTGTAGTATTTATGTCCTTAAAATAATAKTTACTCACACACTGAAGATGGAATTAAAACTAGAGTTAGCCTTATAAACACTGCTAATCAGATAAGTAAYATTTTAATCAATTCAGACTGAATCTGCTTATAAATATAGGACATTTTAAAAGTTTTCATCTGAATAAACACAAAAACAAGACAAGTCCACATACTCACTTTCTGCCACAGAGACTCTCTGGAAGCCAGGCTGGAACACGCTGCAACGAACCAGCAGTTACCCAGCTGCCCCTGGTGCAGATCATGTGCGCTGATGCCATCGACAAACAGGTGAGGGTCCTCGCAGAGCTCCTACACCCCACCAGAACATGACAAACCGTTAGCTACACAGATCAGATAAAAAAATATATATTAAAAATATATATTAAACTAAGCTGAAGGAACAGGGGGCCACCTGCTAAACCCCAACTGTAAAAAAACATATCTAAATGAAATGTTTACAATTTGCTCAGGTGTTAGAAGCATGATGTTGGTATCAATATCTGGACAGATCCATAAACCTCCATCTCTGTGACACAAAAGCAGGATAAAATGATAAAATGCAACACAGCAGTTCTGATTTGCCTGCTGTGTGAGAGTAGCCTTTAATGTGCGTTTGAGAAAAGATAAAAGTTCATAAATTACTGAAGCCAGCTGACAAATCAGAGAAGGACCATCTGTCTGTTTGCATCCTTGGATTAAATTCACAACTTTCTACATGAGTGGCAGCACAGTGTCACATTTCCTGCTGCTTCTCTGATGAGGTCCATTTTCTGCCACAACATGCACAGACCGAGCCTCGCTATYGCTAACGACACGTTCAGTGAGCTGCTGGACGCTTACAGCTGCATGAAAAACACACAACACACACGCACACCAAGATTTCCTGCAGTTCCGCTGATAGTATGTGAGACGATTGCTCCAGGGTGTGGACAAAAAATATCCTGACAGGAAAACTCAGTTCTTTGTTTTGTCAGAAAAAAGCTTGAAAGATACAAACTTGCAAAATGTCATATAAGACACAAGCTAAAAGACTGCGTTAATAATAACGATCAAGTGTCATGACTCTTATTTTGAAGGGTTGCTTCAGAAGCAGGCAACTTAGTTAAATAAAAGACTTGAAAGAAAATAAAAGAAAATAAGAATAACTCTTAAATACAGACAACATGCTGTAACATGCACAAAAGGAAGGTAAGATCAGTGCAGGTTCATAGTCAACAAGATAGCAGCAAAACTTAAGTTAAGATTCCTGTATTTTTTCATAATATAATATATAATGCAGGGTTAGAGAAAATCTCAATATCATTTTTTTCCAATATCCTGTGGTCCTAATTCCTAGTTTGAAGCAGAAATCATCATAATAAACCAGTGGTTTTAAACCAAGCTGTAACCTGAGTGGGATCGGCTTACAGCCACCGCGCAGCGTTAATCATGAATATCATATTTCACGTCATGCGTTTGCACACAAAGGCCTCAACCCCAGCAACATATTCACAGACACGCAGGCAGGATACGACCACAATCGCTCGTTTGCTGACTCTGCAAAGCCGAATGCTGCAAAAGCAAAACTTTTAATCAGAAGCAGGGGCCACTGCAGCGCTCCCTGGAGGCCTGAAGCCTCTGCAAGCATCCTCATCTCACCTTACATTCATGAGCCCTCTGTTTAATACAGTCACCTAAATAAATAAATAAATAAATAAATGAGGAGCAATGTTTGGTTGTTGTTCTGTCAAGGTGCTTGTACGTCTGAGTTAAATTATCGAGCGACATTTCTTCTCCCTGTCCGCAGCAGCATTGATCGCTGGGAGTCTGAGCAGCGGCGGGGGCTCCCTGTGGTGGCCTGCCGTCCACGGGTTGGTGCAGGTGGAAGAGTAATAGAGTATCGATCAGTCCTGCAGACACTGAAGCAATGTGAATATTGTGGCTGAGCCGAGCGCAGTCTAATCATATACTCTGCCAGTGAAGGCTTTTTGCCCCACTTCATATCCTCCTCAGCATCGTCCATGAGTTWGGCTCAGAGGCCCATCATCGGCCACACATGCAAACAAATGTCTTGGCAACATTAACCCAAAATACACTTTAAAATGTTTTAAAGTGCTTGTGACATCATTTAAAAAAATAKGAATTCATTTTTGGAAAGATAACATTGATAACATACTGCAAAACAAAATTTCATGCCRCTGAGATGAATGGTTGTTGAGATATTCACCTGTGAAATAAAAAGGAAGTGATGTCAAAGGGGAATGTCTGCATGTGAACAAAGCATTGCTACAATATCTGACAACTCTAACTGTAGAGAATCTGATGTTTCTTTACATTATTTTTGAGTGATTATCAGAGATATGAAGAGTTAGAGTTCAAATATTGTTTCAATAAACAGAGAGCAGTGAGTTTTTCTTAAAGAGTTCCCCTTTGATGTCACGTCCTGTTTCACTTTGGCTGGGCAAAGTCAGAGGAAAATATGCAGTTATGTGACAAAATGGATAAAATCATGCCAAATTTCTTAAATATAAAGATGTTTTCTTTGACTTTTTTGAATTTTGTATATGCATGTCACAGGCACTTTAAGGTTTGTGTTTTTCTACATTCAGACCAAGTAAAATGTTAAAAATATCAGGATATAAATTAAAAACTATACCTTAAAAAAGCACAACAGAAAAAAATGGAAACATTTAAACATTAATCCATTTACAATATAAAACAGAGTTAAAATGTGCTAGAGTAAACAATTTTTTTGGGGGTTTGTGTGTCAATACACCACCAGCGGGTTAGTGTATATAACTTAAAATAACCTCAAAATAAAGCTAGATTTGCAGGAAATTAGTTACAAGTTTATTATAAAAACACATAAACCCTATTAAACAATAAACAAACAGCCCAGNCCACTTCACCATCTGTGTCGCAGTTTCACGTCTCCAAAATGAGCGTACGCATGGGTCAAAGCTGGCGTGAGGCACCGCACATTTTCACGTCAAGTTTGTATTTTATAAATCACAACCTTGGCGTAAAAAGTGGCGTACGCAAGTTTCTGGGCTCAAATTGTGCATACGCCAGTTTTATAAATCCGACCCCAGACCTTAATCTAGTTGAGAATTTAAGATCAAAATAAAAGAAAAACATTTGAATTCTGACCTAAATGACAACAAATATTTTAATTTTTGAAATGTTAGACCTCAAAAATAATTTATTTGCTCTGAAAATATTGTTAGTATCGACAAATCTTGTTTTTCTCTTAATCTCTCTATTTTGACATTYCATTACTACAAATTTTACTTCTTACATTATCTTTTTTAAACTTTTTTTAATTTGTATTCTTCATTTACATCCTTTTACAGTCCTTAAGCATGAAAGATACTTGAATTCATCATTAGTACACTCAGATTRTTAGTGCAAAACCTGCTTAACTAGTACTTTAAATTATTGACGTTTGTGTTACTGTACACGTTAGAGCAAAAATTGATCAAGAGAATAAAATCTGTTTTAATATATGACAAATACTGAACAGAGTCTAAAAGTTCAGCACTTTATGAGACAATACTTTATTTTATATTAAATACAGCAACAAATCCTAAATATTAAAACCCAATTAATTGTGACYGTCAAGTGTCTGAAGCACCTGAATATTCAACCTTAACGCTCAAAAATGCACTTTAGAGCAGCTCCGCATGTCGAGTGTTCAGTATTTAAAATGAACTTTTGCCAGAACCTTCATTAAATTTTAATGGTTCTGAACATTTATTCTCTCAGAGCCACTCTTCCCCTAAGTAGTTTAATGTCTAACTTCATTATCATGCATTCTCCTCTGAATAAAACAGTGCATCACAAATGAGCTTTCAGTGCCCGTTGGGGAGAAGAGAGAACCAGTTCAGGATGTGTTTATTGTTTTACTGCTTCGGTACCGGCAAGTTAAAGAGTCCATATTATTCTAGATTACAGGTTCATGATGTYATTTTGAGGGTCAACAGGTTTTCTTTGATTTACTGTTTTCCACACTAACACAAAGACCTGTCTGTTGCTAATTTAAAAAAGGACATCTMATTTTTTTAGCCCTTAAATGTGTTTTGTTGTGTCTCAGAAGTTCAGAAAAGCTTAATTTAGTCTCTCCTCGTTCTGTGTAGATATCTTTATATTTTGTTTGGGTCAACCCGTTCAATTTTCTCTATTTTCTTTTGAACAAAATGTCATAATTTTTGCTGCAGAACTGCTAAACAAGGTCATGAACTTCCAGCTAACCAATTTTGTTAATCTGATGTTCTSTAGGTTCATCATCTTTATTCTCCTCTGACTCTGGCTCCAACATGTAAGGCTAGATGGACAAGTCTTCTYTTGTTGACATCTTTTAATTTATTTGTAAATAAAAGGTTTCTACACTGCTATATAGTCRTATCTCTGCAATCAAACTACAAAAATGGCCAAGCTGGGTGGAGTGGACAATGATCATYAGGAGTGAGACCTGGAGGGGGYGGGGTTTGAAGTGACAGCACCAAAACGAGTTGATCTGAGACMSAGCTAAGAAAAGGGGCAGGGCTTGTGGAGCTACAATAACCAGGAACTCAGACAAAAGTCTTGCAGTTAAACTTTATAKAGACCCCCAAYTGAATGGTTTAAATGTTAAAAAGAAAGATTTAAAAGCAGGATTCGTCTCGTTTAAGGCATTAGTGGGATGGTCAAAAATGTAGCAACAATATACAAAACCTTCTGTTATATTATGTGTATTAATGTTTAAATAAGTCTCTTTCATGCAAAATGTCCTTCCAGTCATTTAACTTCGAAGTCCAGCAACATAAAAATGGATTACCATGTAGAAAAATCTAAATGGTCAAAAGATCGTAGTTTGAGTTATTTTCCAACACTTAAATTTGTAAAACTTATTTAAAAAAACTGATTTGAACTCATGCACCTCTTCAACTTATCAGATTGGATTGTTAGAAAAGACCAAGTCTCAGTCCACATAAGATTTTAAGCTTACATAAACACCACTGACAGATTTTTACAGTTGTAACCCACTCAGTGAGTGGGCAAACCAGCTCCTCTACAGACAATAAAGACGTTTCCATCTTTTCTGCAGAACAACCACTTTTTCTACTAAACATGGTCTCAGAATCCAGAAGCTCAACAGGGTCGGAACCAAAAAGGGATGATTGTGATCGTTTTTGTTGTTGATTTAAGTAGCAGTGACATCTGTAGCATTCATGCTTTTATTTTGAAATGCAGCCACATCAACAGCTTGCAGCTGCTGGATGATAAAAATATTCATTAAATGTATTAACGTTTATTCACTGAGTTTGGAAACAATTAAAAAATGCCTTGAGCGAGACATTTTCCTTGATAGCTGTTGAACTTTAAATGTGTTTGTTTAAATATAGGCTAATGTATGAAATAACCACAAATAGAAAAGGTTTCCTCTTTTAAATGACGTCAAGAAATCCTCACATGCTAAAAATAGGATTCAGACCAACAAATCACAACACATCTCTGGAACCGCTCATGATATCAGGGTGATCCCAGTAACAAAACATAGCTTAAGACTCAGGAATCTGAATGATTAGTTGAGCTTGACCAAATCAGACTTWATCCTGGGTTCAATTATCAAGGTTAACTGGATTTGATTTTCATGTGTGAACCAAGATAACCATTTCCAACCATGGGAACAATAATACTAAAAAGCTGCACCAGAACCAACAGGTTAATCACAAATAAATCAAAAATKTTCATTGTTTGTTATTCTCCAAAATAAAAATAACTTAATAATTGTTAAGTTAAAAGGCAAAGTCAGCAACTCTGGGCTTCCTGTCCATGTGCTTCTTCAAACAAATCCCAAAATAAATAATTTGAAATCRTCCTCTTCAGGGTTTCCAACCTCCCTGACACAAAAATGATGACACAAATCATGTCCTGGGTGAGAACGAAAAAGGATGCGCCTCCTGCTCGCCCTCTCTTCTTCCAGCTTTACGTCTGCATGACTGGCATCGGCACGGACCAAAACATGTAATCTGCATGACCCAGTTTCCATGGCAATGCACGCTGGCTGTCACTGCGGTGGCACATGGGCAGAAGGAGGTTACACCATCCAGAATGGCAGACTGCTGGGTGAGAGGGATAACAGTAGCCTGAGTAAATCCTGAGGCCCTGCGTCTCCAATCATCCGCAGCCCAAATACATCATACATCACCGGCTTATACGAGGAGACTTCCACACAAGGAGATGAGAGAGGAGTGCAGCGGAGCAATCACTGATTACTGCTGATGTTAGAGTGGAACTATAAATGATTTGTCATACTGTAGGGTTATTAATCTCAAACTCTGCAGGCACTCATATCAGATGCATTTTCAGGATTTTGAAAGAAACAAAAAAAAAAAGGAAAAAAAATCACCTTTTGACTTAGGACAGAGATTCTTTTATAAAACTGTACTCAAATGTATTATGTCAGATTTGTTGGGAGATAATTCTTTGTGTTTAGGGTTAAACAGAGCATCTTCTTCAACAGAAAAAAAATGTTTCACAGCTTTCTGCTGTAATGCTTGCACAAACAAACAAGCTACAGCAAACAATAATTCTGCATTTGGGATCAATACACCTGCTTTATGGATTAGTTTCAGCTAATGCTTTAGTTTTACAGACATCCATACAGCTGAACCAAAGCTAAAAAGCTCTGATACATTCGGATTTGTCAGAAACTGCTTAGATAAGATAGATAAGATGAAAGTATTTAGGTATGTTTTTATACGTGGAATTTATACTTCCTGTGGACATTTATAATTTCAGTAGAGAAGCTCACTGTTTAAAAGCAGAAGCATAGAGATACACTGGCCCGTGCTCCCCAGTGTCAGGTTTGTTTGGGACATGTACAGGTGCAAACAGACTAATCACCGACTACTGTCACATGTTGGCTGTAACGTTTCTCTGTTCTACYAAAACATGTTTGTGAAGAATAAAACATCTAATTATTTGAAAAATTGTCTTGCGTATATTACATTTCTCACTTAAGCCTGTTGCAATTTTCTTACTGACAAAGCATTCTGGGGCTGATGATGATGATGATGGGATGCAGTTGAGACTAAAACAAAATGAGTCAAGGCTAAAAAKCTACAACGTAACAATAAAGTTATATTTTGTGTTAATTTCTATGTGCAAAATATATTGGTTAAAATGATCAAATACGATGTTTAGAAAATTAGCTCTAGAGCTAATTCTATAAATATTAGCTCGGGAGCTAGCACTATATTTATTTGCTCATGTGCTAATGCCATATACAGTATACTGTATATTAGCTTGTGAGCTAACACTATATTTATTAGCTTGGGGACCAAGGTTATGTTTATTAGCTCATGAGCTAATACCATATACTGTATATTAGCTTGTGAGCTAACGCCATATAATTTTTAGCTTGGGAGCTACTGCCATATTTATCATCTCTGGAGCTAACATCAAAGCTAAAAGACTAAAGGGCTCGACACACGGGCAGCGACAAACTACAGCGATTGACAGCTGTCATCGCAGCCAGGGTGAAACCCGACACACGGGACGCGATAGCGATCGCAGCGTTGCGAATCGCGCTCTCAGGTCGCTTGTCTTCACAAAATTTGATTGGTTCTTGACTCGGACAGCGGGTGTGCATTACGGACGTGTAAACTATACAAATCTTGTGATGCTAATGATATTGAAAAACAAACACACATCAAGATACAGTTTTATGAGGAAAACTTACCATAAACTTCACCCTGGTGCCAATAAATTCCCACAAAGCTTTTTAGTAATCACTTGGTGAAAGTGTTAGCTAACGGCAGTGTGTAGCATACTCTCCGCTCATTGGTCAGTCAATGAAACCCTCACTGATTGGTTGTACGCTAAGCGACAGAGACAAAAGTTGAACATTTTTTAACTTTCATATGTCGTGTCGCAAGCTCGCGTGTGCACGTCTACGTGTACGACCGCGAAATTTCACATGCACTATTTTCGCTGGTCGCTTAGCTGGAGGAGGGCAAGCGATTGTCGCCTCACCGCACAGGCTCCATAGGAAATGAATGGAGAGCAAGCGACGTCGCCTCCCGTGTGTCGAGCCCTTAAAGCTGTGGTGAGCCTTTCATAAAACAGCTCTGTGGTCTTCAATCTTCATTTTCATAGCAGCTGTATTTGCCCTTTACCCAGAATGCATTGCGGCATACATAATGTCCTTGTGACAATACATTCATTTAATTTATAAAAACTACACAGCCTACAGTACCTTTGTCTCATTTTGATAGTTGAAGTTAATGTTTATCAAAAAAGGTCAAAAATCCCTTTAAAAAAGTTTCAACTAGAACTCCTAAAGCAAACAAAGCAACTTACCCGAGGTCTCTTCCAGATGACACGTCCGATCCTGTTGCCCTGGTAAAAGAGAGAGTCGTCGGTGGCGGGGAAGCGGGGGTCCTCAAACAGGAGGCCACTCTGCAGACACTGCCTCTTCAGGGTGGAGTACTGCTGCCCCTCAAAGGCCTTCACGGAACTGAACATCCTGCAGCCCTGGAATCAAAAAACACATCCCAGGTGAGGAGAAGAAACACCCATTATTCATGCTCATACATTCTTCAAACTGTTTACAAACTTCTGATCAAACATTTTAAAACCACATATTCAGTGCGTCATCGCCCCTCCTCAGCTCAGACACACGCACCCTTCAGACTGACAGCAGAATCCAGTGAGCTGAAATACCTGAACAGCCGATGTGTGCTGCTACCCGAGCACAGCCTGGATCCACTGGGTTCAAATGATTAATCTGTCAGTTCACTGATATCCTCCGGGGCCTCATTATCGCTGCCATGCATTGAAGGAGCTACGCACACATTGATCAGCTCGGGGGGCACGCAGAGGGACCGGTGGGCCAGGATGGAGCTATGGCGGAGACGATCAATACTGAGGCGTTGGCTAAATGACAAATCTTTCTACTGACCAGAGTGCTTCCAGCAGACCAGCAGAGATGATAATCGCACACTGAACTGCTTGTTGCTCATTTTATCGACATTTTATTCATTTATACATCAATAAAGTTCTTTTCTTGTCTGTTAGACAAAAAACAACAAAGAAAAGCACTTTACTGCATTCATGGTTAAAATGATGGCTCTCTTTTGTTTGATCATTTGTTCATCATTTTTAACTTCACTGAACCAAGTCATCAGTAAACAGGCAACATTTTGGAATGGTAATGACAATCATGGTTATTTTCTGTAACAGTAAAGCTACACCCATTACCGTTTTAAAACTTTAAAAGAAGGAGCAGAGACATCCAGAGTATCGGACTTTATAACCAGAGKCCACAGTTCCTTCCTCATGTGCTACCAAACATTGGCGCTCGTATCTTTTATGCATGAACACGATCTTTGTGTTTGACTCCGTGTTTAATGAGCGCCGCGCTCCTGCAGCGAGGCAGGGGAGACCTGCTCAGATGATAATGTGGGAAGACTCGTTCCTTCACAGCGTTTCCAAAAACTCCTCTCAGACCTCAGATGAAACGTTCTGTGATGCAGTTTGTGTCAGTCATGCTGAGAACAGAGGYGGACCGATGCAGACGAATCTCATTTACAGCTGCCAACCTCCGGCTTCTGAATACATTCACTGGTTGTAAAGAAAACCATGTTCTAATACAGATGGAAAGTGTTCAACCAGCCTGACTACACGGCTTGATTCTGAAGTATTCAGAAAAACCACGAAACCACAATACAAACTCTGGAAAAACATAGAAAATTACGTCTTTTAGAACAGATTATTTTTGCTTTTTTTATGGAAAAAAATATACATAAATATGCCAAAACTGTTTTTCTAGCATTTTAAACCAATATGTTTTTATTGATCATAGTAATCAGTTAGTATCGTTTTAAGCTACAGCTGCATAATACATCGTTAGAGCATCGTCATGCCCATGTATGTGTGGACAGTCTCACTGCAGGTCCTGCAATGTTGGAGGCAAATTAAATCAATGTGTTATCTAGGGACTAAACCATAAGTCTCTGCACTAAAAGGTCACGTGTTACAGCTTTTATTTTGATGGGTTTATACCAAAAGTGGGCAGCTTCGTGTCAAAAAAAAGCTAAAACTTTCATTTTGTTGTGAAAATTCTGGGACAATAACAGCAACGTTTTTTCAGTGAAGTGATGTCGGTGAATTCTTGAGCTGTGGAGGAAGATGAGTAAATTCACAGAGAACCGGAGGAAAGGAGGTCAAATACAGTTATTTTAAAGCGTGACGGAAACAGAAGGTAAGATGGACACGGAGATGACACATTATGTGAAAAACACCAATTCATGTTTGCAGACAATAGATGGAAAAGTCCTCAGGTCCCAGCACAATAAAAAATACAAACAATTTTCAAATAGACTAAAACATGGAGATGACGGCGGTGGCGGCAGATGTATGTAGCTGTGCAGTATCGCTGCAGGAAAATACATCCCATTTGGCTTTACAGGCATCTGCAGGTCTGTTTTTGACCAAATTTACCTCAGCTTTAGTGTTGCTGTTACTCTGTATGCTACATAAACGGAAGATCAAAGACGCAAATGACGGACATCATTTTCGAAAAACAACAGCACACAAGCGTCCTATGGCGTGTATACAAGCATCGACCATAACTTATCCTAACTTTGGTAAATATCATCTACCTTGCCGGTTGGGCTGGTTTCTCCGGCTTGCTGCTGTTGCGGCGTGCCTCGGTGGAGTGGCGGATGTGGGTGGAGTCCCTCGGCCCTCGGATTGTCCCTCGTGTTTGGACGGAGCRCCTGGGGTGGACTTGCCGGCCTGGACGTGTGGAGGTGGGAGCCGGGACGGAGCGACTAGGCTGGCAGGTGAGGCGTACCAGCTTCCCTGTTGCCTATTTGAATCAGTATTGGCTGTGCCGTTTTTCGGTTGGGGATCAAACTGGAGCTACTGGTTTTGGTGAGCATGCTCGTGTCCGGCATGGTGGGAACCATGTTATTCAAGCCTTGAAGTGTGCGCCATTCAGCGAAGAAAAGAACAGCAAGCTACTGACTGGCTTCAGAACCTCACCTGATCAGGTAGTAATTTGGGCCTATGTTACTGTTTTTCATCAGTGGACAAAAGACATTAGTGCTAAAGGCACGGATATAACAGACTCTGTTTTAACCAGTCGGAAACAACATTTAAGACTTCTGTTTAATATTCTTTTAGTCATTGGAAATATTGAACTTAATCCAGGTCCAGTTAAAAATGTTTTTATGTCCACTTTTTTATATTTTATGGGATTTTTTACATATGTTTTTAATAATTATCTTGACCTGGGTTTGTGCACAGGTGTATMTTATATAAATCCAACTCAATTACAGTCTACACAGGGATTTATCTATTATATCCTGAAAAGGTTAGACAACCTCCTGTTATGTCAGGTCTGAACACTTCATCAGTAAGAAAGCAAAAGAGATTTTCCTATCTAAAAAAAAAAGTCCAGGGACGCTAAATCAACGAGGTAAAATTAGAGGCTTTAAAATCTGTCATTTAAATATGAGAAGTCTTGTACCTAAACTGGATGAATTCAAAGTAATACTTGCTCAGACACAAGCACATGTTATGGCTATATCAGAATCATGGCTGACTCCTGCTATACAAATTCGTTTCTTTCAGTTGAAAATTATTCATTGTATCGTAGAGACCGTACTGATAGGCTTGGAGGTGGTGTTGCASTTTATGTTCACAAGAAATACTCACATTCTATAATAGAATTGTCAACTGAGTCTGAATCTCTGCAATTAGAAATCAAGCTTACAAATCACCTTTCAGTAACGGTTGTTGTTACATATAAACCTCCAAGTGTTAATTCAGCTAAATATTTAGCGCAGCTGACTGACATTATAAAAGGCATAAAATCAAGAGTTTGTGACTCTTGGTGATATCAATATGAATTGGGCTGATAAAACTTCCAAAGGCCTGAAAGCAATGTCTATAAACTCAGGGCTTCAACAGTTAAAGTACCAACAAGATTTGGCAAGACAYGCAATTCCATTTTGGATCTTATTTTCACAAATCGATCCTCCATATATGGCATATCTGRAGTTATAAATACTTCAATCTCGGATCATTCATTTATTTATGTCATTAGAAAAAACCTTAAGAAACCTACAGGTCATGTGCATAATTTCATTAAAAGGAATCCAAAATCAAAGTTAGCCATGTTTCATGCTGAGATTGAGAATACTAACTGGAATGAGGGTATTTCTCTGTCAAATCCAAATCGCATTTTGTCCAATTTTTATGATAAATTGGAGACAATACAGGAAAAATATGTTTCAACTTGTAAAGTTCCAGTCTGGAAAAATAAAATTCCATGGTTGAATGCCTTTATAATACACCTCCTAAAGTTGAAAGCTTCTTCAATGAAAACTTACAGAATATCAAAAACTTCTGAAAATCGGTCTTGTTTAAACAGTTACCGAAATAAATGTGTTGCTGAATTACGCAAAACCAAACAACAATATTTTAAAAATCAAATTATTTCAGCCAGTAAGAATCCAAAAATATTATGGGAAACAATTAAGTCAGTGACAGGTGAAAGTAACAATAAAACATTTAATAACAATTCACAAATCTCAATAAATAGACTTCTTGTTTCTGATTATGAAAAAATTGCTAACTTATTTAATGAATATTTTTTTTCTTCAGTAAGGACATCATTACCGGGACAAGCTAATAGTTCAAAGTTATTTAAACATCCTGACACTTCAAAGCAATTTTCATTTTGAAATGGTGAGACACCACATCAAAAAGACATCAGTAGTAGCCTGAAGTCTGACTGCAGTACTATTAAAAAAGCATTAGCCTAAAGGCTTCAAGAAAGAAAATCCAACTCTTTGAGAGGAAAAGTGATTTAATGAATCCTAACATGTTTGTCAATCAGGTGTCACTAAACTAAAAGGAAAGCACAGCTCTATTAATTTGCTGCACAATGTGCCCAACTAATAAATAAAACTCTTTGCATTGAACTARAAACAGGAGTGTTTAGTTGAAGTGTCCTTCTGAAGAAGGTCTACATGTGGTGATCTCCAAAAACACCAAGTCTATGTTGTTGTTGGCATCAACTCCAGCTTTTAGTCTGCTCAAACTTTGACCTTAATTAAGCAAAACAAAGTCTGGTTCAGGGGAATAATAAGCCAGCTGACTCTTGAGCAAGTGATAAAAGTAAATTCCTGAGGGAACTGCGAGGTTGCAGTTGGAAGCTACATTGGCCAGATGGCCACGATGAGAAAAACCATGCTGTCATCTGGCCAAGGTGGAGAGCCAACAGCATCACCTGCAGAGCATGAATCCTGAAAATCTACTGGGCTTTGGGACTTTAATATAAACAGAAAAATCTGCTATGAAAGAAAATGAGCATACATCAAAAAATACCTATCACCCATGGCAGAGTTTTCATCAAAGATCTGACTTTATCTGTTAGCATTGCAGCTCTTAGCTGCTATCACACCAAACTTTAGCTTTAATTCTGTAAAAATGACCATAAAGCCATTTTTGTGTTTGCTAAG